AGTGATACAGAACCCATTGAAACATGGTCCTTGCTTCATCAATGCACCTGTCAAAGCAAACAGCAAGAGAAACATAGACAGAGGATATTTAGATTTTTACAATACACCACCATTTAATAAACCTTAAAAAACCTTTAAAAACAGTCTTAGTGTTGGCATTATAACAAGCTTAAATTTAAGATGCATACCTCCCACAGAGAAAAGCAGAGTCGCCCAGATGAGAACGAACATCCTGATTCAGTCAGTCAGTCTCTCCCTTCACAAGACCAAGTTTTCTTTTCAAAGGCACAAACATATTGAAATGTTTCAGTTGATGAAACTGGATCAGACACACCTCTATGGTTGACAGCCACATTTATTCATGTAAACACACAACATCCTGTATTTAAATCCACACTAACATCTTCAGGGTTGTGAGTCCCCTAAAATGTTTTATTTTGAAGCACTTTTTGATATTTGTTCCGGAAAACTGCCAAATAAATAATAATAATAATAATAATAATAATAATAATAATAATAATAAAAAAACAACTATTTTTTAATTTATTTACTTTATTAATTTAATATTTTATGATGTTATGGAAAAAAATATTAGTTTCAATTTACAATTTTCAAAATGTATTTTAAATCTAAATGTGTTTTACCTTTTGTCTTGTTCTCTTGCTTCCTTATCTCCTCAGTGACCTCGACTGAGTGTCTCGACTCTTCCTTTTTGTACTTCTTTCCTCTTTGCACTACAAGTTTCCAGGAAGTTTCTCTACACCGCCCTACAAAGCCTAACTACAGTAACTATACTAACAGTTTTTTGACTGGCCAGTCAAAAGGGTTTTATGTAGAATGTCGGGTATGTGCCTATTGAATATGTATTATCTAAATCATTTTTATGGCTTAAAAATCATGACCAATTATTTGACCTATGACCCCAAAAATGCAGATACTGCACTCTGTCTTTGTATTACCATAACCAGATATATAGGTAGTGCACAGCAAGAGTGCAGTTACTACAGATGGAGTGTCTACTTCCTGATAAAATCTAAATCTAATTTGATGTTTTATTACATTATTAAATCTGTATTACTTGTGTCATGTGTAACAAGTTGAAATAGATGGCTAATTAAGAATTTAAGTGTTCTTTTGTGACGTTTAAATACCAAAGTAATCATTCAATCAAAGTAAACTAAAAGTAACTAACTAAGTAAATAACTCAATTTTGACCCAAATTGTAGTTACTGTGGTTTTGCTTTGTAGGGCAATACACACTACTGGCCCTGCTTAGACTGCCACACATACAGCTAAAACCTCATATGTATATCAATCTGGCAACACTGAACAACAACCTATCAACTAGAAACTATCTACCAACTATCCGTCATTGCAATGCATAATACCTTATGTGCAGAGTGGCACATGCATCAGTGAATGGTTTGTATTACTGGTTAATATCTGCTGTGCCAGTGAAATAATAATGGTCATGGTCAAAGAAAGACATTAGTTTAAAGATTAGTTTATTCATGTGTGAAAACATGTAATGCATTAAATACGTGCAGATTCAAGTATTTTAATCATAGTTCTTAATTTCAACTACATGCAACCTCTAGTATTTACCACCACATTTTGCAACAATTTTTTTATGGTTTGATGGTTTATTACACAAAATCTTGAAGTTGTGTTCTCAGAAATGGTGACAATTTAAACATGCCCTCGCTCTATAACTTCCTCCTCACACTTTGAGGTGCTAGATTCAAACATTTTCTTTTAGCTGCAAATCGGCTTACACGTTTCTCTTTACCTATTAATATATGCCTACATACTGAATACTCACTACAGAACCTGCAAACATTGCAGACTGTACCAGATGTAAGAAAAGCTTTGTTGCAATGGACTCGATCGAAGAACCAATGTGTCACACACTCACTCACTGAGCACTCTGAGTGAGGTTTATTTCTGAAACATTAAAAAGGGAAGTAATCTATGACCTGTTAACAGGCCTTTAGAGACAAATTGAGCCAAACATTTATTATTCATTTTTTTATATAAGAATGTCTGCATACAGTTACACCAGTTTAATGTACATCAAAATTGGTTGCTGCAATTGTTCCTGCTATACATACAGACCCCGAAGAGAACAGAAAGCAAGTCCACTGTAAGAGATGAGGGACAAAAACAAAAGTCCTCATTCTTGTAAATGTCTTCCCAAAGTTCAGCTGAAGCTCTTACACACCACAGCCACTGTAACTTACTTGTTATTTGTCTAACTAATTTCTCTTAAAGCCTCCTATTTACTATGATTTGTCTTTGAAATGCATTTTGGGCTGTAGATTTTGTCCCTATCTCTGTCATTGGAATTGCTTACGGACGGGATCTAACTATTACCTACTTCGTCCAATTTTGTCCTGTTTCTATGATTCTCTTTTCCCCCATTTCTTATTTACTTGCAGGCTTTATACATATTGTGTGACCATTTTTGAAGGGAGCATGACAGAAATAATTTCAAGACTGCATCAATATGATTGTTGTTCATATGACTAATGAAAGAACTGGACCCTTTTTACTAGAACCATGTGACTATTGTACTGAGATAAACTGACACACTAAATGGAAATGAAACAGGAGTACGAGCCTCTGAAACTGCAACCGTACTTTGAGCTAAATGCTAATCTCCGCATACTAACAAGCTCACAATGACAATGCTAACATACTGACTATGTATAATGTTTATTCTGTTTACTGTCTTAGTTTAGCATGTTAGCATTTGCTAATTGGCATTAAAGACAAAAGGTAAACAGTTTAGGGATTGCTTAAGTTAATACAGTTTAAACAGATTTCAAGGCAATACAACATCATTTCAATCAAAAGCACATGCCAAACTCATGGTGGAGCAAAAGCAACTAAAGTAATTGGGATACATTTATGGTCCCCATTAATGTCTGTACAAAAAGAATCCATCCAATAGTTGTTAAGATAGTTCTGTCTTAACCAAAATGATCTGGCAAACTAACAAACAGATCGTTCCATGCTGAAAAAGAGACACCATCACACAGGGTGAAAGTGAGGGAACATGTTTGCCATGCATATCCTGGTATAAAACAAAAGTAAAAATCCCTCAGAGCAAAGTCCACCCTTAGTGGAATGAATGGATTTGCAGACTAGAGGAGTTGAGTCTCTCGATCACTTCACACTATCACAGACTGATTCTGGTGTTCGAACACAGCTGAGGCTGAACACTGTGAATATAACAGCACTGAAACTGTTCACAGGACCTTCAATCCATCACCAGTCCATTACATCAACTCATCACATCTGATGAGAGCAAAGAAACTTTATCCTCAAGAAACTCCACAAGGCAACATAGTCCTCAAATCTCACCCATTATATCCTTCACATTGGAGTAAACTTCTGCGTCCTCCCCTTCATCCTCTTCTGGGACATACTGTTTTGTCTCCTCATCCTCCTCTATCATTGCCTCCTCTTTGCCATCCAACACTTCATTTTCTTCTTCCTCTCCGCCTCTTCCTTCCTCTTCTCTTTTCTCCTTTACTTCTTTCTTAATTTCAGCATACTCTGTCTCTGTGGTCTTTTGTGTGTTTGCTGCCTCCCTGGGACTCCTCCTTTTCAGCACTGAGAAATCAATGCTGGCGTACTCTACATCTTTTGGTTCACCATCAAGATCAAGAGCTGCCTTCTCTTCTGCCACAGCTCCTTCTCCATCTTCAACTGCCTCTTGGTAGTAGGTCTGATCATCTTCCACTGCTTGACCGACATCGATCTGAGAGGTAAAATGTAAATTATATGACTCATTCAGCAGCTGCTACAAGAATCAACATTGTGAACAATATGCATGAAATCTCTATCTGACATATTTACATTACTGCCAACCATATTTGTCAAGTCATACCATAATATTTTACATTTTTTAATGTTCTAGTGTCCATTCATTTCTGTACGGTATAAGAAAAAAAAAATTAGCTTAAAGCAAAACTTGTTTGAGATATTGTAATCCATCACAACGTACACCTGGTTTTATTATGGCATGGTGTTGACTTACACAGCATCTCAAATTTGCACAAATGTTAACTGCAAGTTGATTCACATGAATAAAGCATAGCATTAGTTTAGGCAGAGCACAAAAGTTGTGCCTGCTTGATTTGACTGGATGGGCTGCTTCATTCATGCTTCACCATCAGTGGCTCATTCATCACCTTCTTGGCTACAGAAGCACATCCAGACTAGGACTGAATGCAGCAATCTGACACCTTAAACTATTAGACTGCTGATGCTGAAGCTCCTTCAGCCAACCGAATACATGTGCTGTATATGTGGTACTGCTGAAACGAAATGCTACTACTAATGTCCATGTATACGTTTTGTTAAAAGGGGATTATTTCTCTTTCTTGCTGCTCAGATTATTTGAGAACTTCCTAAAAGAGCGCTGTCTTTCCGGACAAATCTAACCATATGACCATTTTCTATTCATGGTCAATTCCTTGAACAGAAAAGTATCTGACTGAAAAATAAACAATAAAAGCCACAATAACACATCTAAAATACAATATTTGAAACTTGGACACTTCTAAATGAAAATAGTATTTTATGAATGCATATGAATACCAGTGGATCCTCTTGACTGGTCACCATCTCCAGAGTTTCATCCAGCTTTCCAAAGCTTTTCTGTTTTTTCCTGAAAAAAAAAAACCCAAAACAAACATATTTACACAGTAATAAATGTATGTATGAAGATTATCCTCAAACAAGACCAGGAATTAAATATTGGAATTAATGGTGTACCTGTGGCATTTTTTTACCAAACAGCAAATGACTGCTGAAAGAACTACCCCAATAAAAAAAGCAATAAGGACTTCCAGCCGTGAAACCATTTTTAATACTCCTGTGGACTGATCTGCAGAGGAATAAAAAAAATGTCATGTTGTTGTCAACGAAAATATACATGCAATAGCTTAGTTTCTTTTGACAGCTTGTCCAATGGTTGTCCAAATACAAAGTTTACAGTGAAAGAGATACTAAAAATGACAAAGCAGTGGTCTGTAGTTGCATAAGTGTTTTAGCTGAGAACTTTTACCCTCTTGTTCAGGAGCGTCTGTTTGAACGATGAGGTTTTCTTTTGCTTCCCCAATTTCATTGCTGCTGACACACTCAACAACAGTGTTGCTATGGTCTTTTACGCTTAGGCTGACGGTGCT